GATGTGGAAGTAACTTGGGAGAAACGGGGACTGCGCTCACGATTTTAGATGGGAATTGGAGCTGTTTCCGGCGGATTGTGGGCAAGCAATGGTTGGAGGTTGTAGAGAGAGGTGAGGGAGTGCCGGTGGTGCGGAGGTCCGGCGACTTAGGTGGCGGGCAGTGGAAGTATTGATGGAATATCTGGAGTTAAAGAGGAAGAAGTTTGGGAATTAGAAAATAAGCTTGTTTCCCATGTTTTCACTGAATCTCTGTTTTGTAAAGAAAACGCTCAAAACGTCTGAAAAGCCGTTTTGAGTTTCCAGGCAAAAAAAAAAAATTTGTTTTCAAAAATTTGTTTTTGAAAACGAGAAAGAGAACGCGTTTTCACTGTTTTGAAAAATAGAAAACAGAAAACGGTCCCAAAACAGCAAAGAGAACAGGGCCTTACTGTTTTAAAAATAAACAGTTGAGATGAGTTAATAAATTAGTTTATTGATTTATTTTTGTAATATTATGAATAATTAACTGATTGATGCCATACGAATGATCATAGATAACAGTAACTTTGTTACATGCAAATGGAGTCATGAATGGTGACTATTGGTAACTTTTAAAAAGATAACCTGATTTCCAGATTCTATACTTCTTCCAATATTAGAATGCATAATTAGTGTGACACTTTGTCCCTTGATAATAGCATGTTGTCACAGTTCCTTATATAATAGATCTTATGCATTGCTAATTCTTCATTGTTAAACTATGGGTATGGGATGTGCATCTCTTATCACCTCATGGTGGGTGAAAGGCTTAAAGTAGATGTCAACGATGGGTATCAACATAATTGTGCCAAACAAACTGCAAAGGAACATTTACTATATTAACAGCGTGGGCGGCCATTTTTACGATAAATTTGCACAATGTATTTCTGTTCTGAATTTCTCTCTTTGTAGAAAAGAACTTGAGTTCTTATAACCCCCTCTACACCCGAAAAAAGATACTTTTCATTTTGTTGACTATATGTTTAGTCTGGATGAGGAGGAAATCAAGAAATCTAACCATTACAATATTACATCACACAACTCATATTTTGATCTTTGTATTAGAAAGGAAATGAGCCTTTTATATTTATTGCTTTCTTGAAATTTTCTTTGCCACCTATACAATTTCTTGAGTTTCCTCAGTTTC